GGTGAGAATTTGACGTTGACAGGAATATTGTGTTTACTGGCTAGTTTAGTCCAAGTGTGGATAATTCTTGAGCTGGTTTCAGGAACAAAAAGTAAACTGCAGTGTAATGTGCTGTTGTTGGATTTGTTAGTGTCAATTTTGTTCGTGAGTTGAGTTTTATTGTGGGGAATGTTGGAGAGTTTTTCAACTATATCTGGTGGGAATTTATTTACAGAGGTTGGTAGTAGTAGTTTAAAATCAGGTATGGCTCTACTCGGACCCTACAAATATTCAACACGTCCGTTTAGCTCATGTGGTCGAAACTACTAAACACTAACACATCAACGGAAATTAAGATCACTTTATCATTTGCATTTAAGTAAAAAATTATATGTTGAACTAAATGGAATTCTGACGTCAATTCTTCGTCTTGGGACACGTGCTCACAAACCCTAATTAGTGGCCAACACATCAACGTAACGGTATTTCAACCGTCTGAACTGATCTCGGTAATAACGTTTTATATAACCAGCTGTGTTTATACCTTAATGTTTAATAACAGGTTTACAACATAGAGGATATATTCAACATTGAACGGCGAGTCAAATTACTTTTTCCGCCTATTCCATTATCTACACACACGAAAAGATGTTCCGATAGTAATTACAAGCTTAATTAACCCCCACGAGATGTCCCCCTTATCCTGTCATTCAACATAACTTCATATATAACTTTACGTCTTTAATGTCATTTATGCAATTTAAACCTAAAATTAGAAGTTGAAAACGACCCCTTTTAATGTATGTACTTCTTTCCTGCTTTGGTAATCCTATTTTTTCATTTCCCTGACTAGCTAGGGATCGAACCTAGGACTTCACACACACTAAACAAGTTATGCTGAAGTTAGTCCCTTGTTAACAACTCAAGCGACTCCACTAGCTAGGGATCGAACCCAGGACTTCACACACACTAAACAAGTTATGCTGAAGTTAGTCACTTGTTAACAACTCAAGCGACTCCACTAGCTAGGGATCGAACCCAGGACTTCACACACACTAAACAAGTTATGCTGAAGTTAGTCACTTGTCAACAACTCAAGCGACTCCACCTATCTTAACTTTACATATTTTTCTTCAGAATTTTGCTGTTTGGTTAAAATAATACACATTTATCTAACTTTACTATTAAAAGGTTAACAGTTCTAAGAAGCATGGGCTTCCGCAGGGGGGCAGAAGGAAAATGAAAAACATAATTCTTTCTTTAATTCATTCAACATATGAATATGATTTTTTTTTATTCACTTCACAATTTCACACTACGTTTTCCACCCACACCCTGGAAAACTTTGCCCCTCCCTGGAAAATTTTCTGCGGACGTCCATGCTATAAAGGAAAAAAAAAAGTTCTCGATCAATGAATGATGTACACTTAATTCACGACCTCACGGTTGTTTCTTTGTTTTTGAATTTGTGCAAAGTTACACGCCCCACTCCCCAATGGCACAGCGGTATGTCTGCGGACTAACAACGCTAGAATCCGGGTTTCGATACCCGTGGTGGGCAGAGCACAGATAGACTATTATGTAGCTTTGTGCTTAATTACAATCAAACAAACAAACAAAGCAAAGTTACATGCAAGTTATCTGCGCTCGTCGGCCCTAATTTAGACTAGAGAGAAGGCAGCGAGTCAAGAGCACGCTCTTGTCTGACCGATTTAGTGGGTTTGACCATCACTCAACTACCATACCCATTGAGAGCGAAGCGCATTTTTGCGGGTACGTTAAACCCTAGGCCACGCCCGTCCTACATGAAGACGACCCACCACAACACCGAAGTATTGGTCACTTTCTAAAGAACCTCCAATCCTACTAACCAGCCCCCGTGGTGGCTCATCGGCAAGTCTGACGGTTTATAAAGCTAAAAACCCGGGTTTAGATACTCGTGGTGGGCACAGAACAGATGGCCTGTTGTGTTTTTATTTCTTATTCTGTATCGCGCATTACACTTGAATAAGTTTATGTTTGGTTTTGTTTTATCCAAAATGTTATCATAAACTTATCTGGTCTGAGTTCTTACTTTCAAGATCATGCACACGAAAAAAAAAAAAAATATATATATAGACAAGAAAGAAGAGGAATAAAATTGAAAATCATGATTACGTAGTTGAGGTCAAAACGTTTAAACCGTTCGATTGTAAGCCCATGTGTTGTAAGTTTATAAACTGTGTTTCTTTCAAATCTGTGTGGATATGTTACATGTAGGATGTAAGGAATGCGTTAAACGTATAATACAACTTATATTAATTGTAATCAAAGTCGCCTGTGACTGCGGCAATACTCAGTGCAGTTTCTCACCACATTCGTACAACCCCCTTCACATAAACTGGTTTTCACATAAAAAAACAAACAAACATAATATAAATTAATTTTATTATTTACTAAATAAGGTAATTATTTTTCGGCTGAAAATATTTTAAGTTGTCCTTTTTAAACCTCGAACATTACACTTCAAACAAATCTGTAAGTATTCATGCAAAGAATGATGAGGATTATTAGTAAAAAAATGAAGATAATGATGAAGAAAGGGTGTTGAGATGACGTCTAAATTTTCGCAGTGTTAGGCCTACTTTATTTTTTTAAAAGTTCGATATTTTGCGAGTTAACGATCCTCCTTTTCAATGTTTGTTTGAATTTAAGCACAAAGCTACACAATGGACTATCTGTGATCTGCCCACCATGGGTATCGAAACCCGGTTTCTAGTGTTGTAAGTCCGCAGACATGCCGCTGGGGGGGGTACTCCTTTTCAAAGCATTGTAATTCTGTACTGCATTGACTTTCAAAAATAATACTTTTATACAAATATCTATATATATATATGTTAAATTAAATATTTAAGTTAAAATATGTAACTTATAATCCTGTTTTGACAAAAGAAGAGACCAACTTGCCCTAAAAACTAAAATTACTTTCCCCTTGCTGGATTATGCATGCTGATGAACTCTACAGATTCTCTGGGATTAGTTAGGATTTACGATGAATATTTGAAATATTGTTGAATTTTCTAGTGGGCACGATTAGGGTTTCAGTTCGTACGAAACGGTTTATATCATATAGATAAGCGTTGTGCTTCTGAATATCTCGTCCTGCCTGTTAGCACACATCCACAAGGCCAGACAGATTGTTGGTTACGTAACAGTAATATTTTATTACGATTTTTTCTTGTATTTGTGCACTAATCGCTGAAGGGTTGATGTGAACAGCTTTGAGCGATAAAAAAGCTGATTCATGCGTTAACTGCAAGACTGGTTCTCAAACTTTAACTACGAGCTTTTTATATAACATTTAAAATATATAAATTAAAAATAAAATAAAGAGGTTTTGATGGTAAAATGTCAAACTCATAAAAAAATGGCAATAATTTTCCATTATCCCATATGAAAAAAGGTGGCGCTGTAATCAACTGATAAAGTATCGTCCACAGAAGATCGTTATATACCAGTTTATTCAATTAGAGGAACGCAATCAAAGAAGCATTCAAAATTTTAAACTAAGTAACTTGGATTTCTATTTTATACAATTAATGCGCGAGCGATGCAGGACGAGGATATATTTATTGTTATTTTATCAGACAAGGACATTATATTTAGATATAGGCTAATCTCGTACAGACGCTTGACCATCAAAGGCGGGTTAATTTAACTAAGTCTGAAAATCCTCTCTTGTTAGAGCCTGGCTTGGACTGGTGGTTAGGGCGCGCTACTCGAAATCTGCGGGTCGCAGGATCGAAATGTATCACCAAACATGCCCTGGTGGCGTTATAATGTCAATACCACCATTCGTTCCAAAACTAGCGATAGCTAACAGAAAATTCAACCAGGAATACAACACCATTTTTAGTATAACATTTCTACAGAAAAAAAAAAATCGTCCGCATTTTAGAAGTTCTTCGTGCTACCTTCCTGTAAACATAAAAACAAACATCATACGATATTCAATTACAATTTCTCAATCTCAAGCCAGAAAACAAACAACTTAAGCCTGAAAGTATATAATTATAATTTCTCAGGTTAAAAAAAATGCACATTAATAAAGATTTAAGACTGAGCAGACTTTATAACAACAAAAGAAGAAAGTTTTAAACTTTTCAAATGAAAAGCAACTGATAACTTACACCTTTTTCACTTCTACTGACGAAATGAAGATGTACTCCTTCAGAAGGGTGAAACACGCCGTCCAACTTTCTATTTCACGGTTGAAGATACAGTTTCTGGTATGGCAAGTACCTACACATGTAGCTCCAAGCTTCGAAGGATATTTTATAGTGTTTATCGTTTTTCAGAAAAGCTCGACCTTAAATGATCGTTGTTTTTCTGTTCTCCCTATTTAAAACGATGCATGCATCACGTGAAAAACTCCACGAATTAGCAGCAATTAATTAGTTGATATCGTTTTTTGATAGGACAAGAAGAGCTTCGAAATAACGACTTTGTGGTGCAGGTTTTCAAACACGAAGTATAATTAACCTGGTAACTAATTATGAAGTCAGAACTGACTTCGTGTGGTAACTAGACGCATGAAATGGTGATCACTACATTTGATCTCCTTCCGCCCTCTGAATTATTCATTTGGCATTACCTAAGCCTTTAGAGATAATTCGTGAATTAGCATGAGTCTCAGTTCGTCTTTTCTTGAACTTGGCTCAACGTGGTTTGTCACGCTTGCTGAAAACTCTCAGAGAAAGCTGAGTTTGTACCTTTACCACCGATTGTTCTTGTTGTGAGCATGCGTCTTACAAAGACGGGAATCAGCTGCTTCTGATGGTAAAGTATGCGTGGTAAATCTTAGCAAATGAAGGTGTTTAATAGTAGTAGATAATTATTGCATTCTCCTGAATTTTTTGTACGTTTTTAAATTTAAAATATTTTAAAAATTAATCATCCTAATTATTACCATTTTGAAACAAATGTTTCCAACCTCTCGTTCTTTATTCCTCTATTGATTTAAGACTTTAATGGTTAACTTTCTGATCCTTTTCGTATCACCTTGAAATAATTACTCAAAAAAACGATCTCTTACTTACTGTTAATTTAATTCGAGCGAGAATTCAATGTCGGTAATTATTTACAATTCCAAATCTTGTTATAATTCCACTGATGTGTCAGTATAGACAGTGTTGTAGGAAGAAGATGTAAAGTGGAGGTACTTGGCTAGACATGCAAATTTTACAATGACAGATTGAAAATATAAGAAGCTGCTAAAAGCAGCTCCCGTACTGCCAAATGCAACTCAATATAGGGGGGGGGGGGGTCTGGAGGCATGCTCCTAGAAGACTAATATAATTTACAGTTGATATATAAGTCAAATATGTAAAAGTGGGTTTCGAGGTTCTTAATTAACGCTGCTAAGACTGCCTCCTTGGATTTAGCCTGTGTTTATGACGGTAGAATAAGATAGTGTTCAGTAGCCTAGGTTCTGGTGTATTGAAGTTGTAATCTTGTTATTCATTTTCAATGTTCCAGTTATACGTTTTTATTTATGAAACTAGTATTTAACTAAAGATAACACCCATATTGGAAGAAGAAAGTTATAGTTTCCATAATTTATAATATTAATATATACATATTTAAGTTTAAAAAACATTGTCGAAACAGTAAAGTAATGATTTCACACCTTTGTATGTTCTCTTGTTTTATTGCATAGAAACGGTGAAACGTCAGTAATAGGAAGAATAGGGTGAATTTTGTCGTTGTACTTATTTTTTCTGTATTGTTGCCTCTTGTTATGTTCATTTCTTGAATGTATAACTTCGGAATTATATTGTTACGACATCGGGGGTCACGTGACGCTAGTATCACGCCACAAGCTTTTCGAACGTTCACGTCCCTTCCTGAAATATCGGGAGTTTACTAGATCTCGGCATTCTTTTATATATAAGACGGTCACAACGTGACGGCAACAACAATGAGTAATTGAACTGCGGACAGAGAGAGAATATTGTTGGGCACGTGAGACGTTCGTTGTGAATTATAGCGTTTGTTATAGCGCGACTGTTGAAATTAAGTGTATCGCAAAGTTGTATTCAGAAAGAATAAACCAGTTTTATTTAAAGAAAGGACTTGTATCGGTAAAGTTTCTTCGGAAAGAATTTATACGGAAAATTAACTAACGAACGGAGACGTAACAATATAAACAAATCACACCTATAATACGGCTTAGTTATTAAGACTTAATGTATCACGTCTATAACAAGGCTTAGTTGATAATATTTGATGAATCGTATGCATTAAGAGTTGTATATTTTCAATTTTACTTTTGGCGAAGGCCCGTCATGGCCAGGTGGTTAGGGCGCTCGACTATTCGTTGGTAAAAGAGTAGCCCAAAATTTGGCGGTGGGTGGTGATGACTAGCTGCCTTCCCTCTAGTCTTACACTACTAAATTAGGAACGGCTATTGCAGATAGCTCTCGTGTAGCTTTGCTCAAAATTCAAAAACAAACAAACAAACCTTTGTCGAAAATAAAATAAATCTGTAGTAAAATAATGGTTATATTTATAGTTGATTCGATTTATGACAGGTGGGTAGGCTCATTGTATCTAGTGTTTTTGAGACAGACAGTTTTAAATATATTTTTCTAAACACTGTGTATTTGTTTTATTTCCATTGTATTTTTGGTATTTATATTGTAGTTGTGTGAGTACTTAAGATTGATGACTTAGGTATAATTGTCAATTTACTCTCTCTTTGAAAAATATTCACCCCTTCTGTCTGTTAAGTAGCTCTAGCGAACCATAAGTTAACCACATGTGAACATCCTTTTCTGGTTAATATATCATCGTTAGTAGTAGTAGTAGTATATATACGTAGCACTTCTAAGCCTAACCCACGTAATTTTATACTTAAGCCTATTTTTTATATGCCGCTGTGAGAAACAAGCGGAAGTTCTATACAAATAAGAAATAGATGGCGCTACTTGCGAATGTTTGTTCCAGTGTTTTAAAAACGTCATTAATGTTTAGATATACTTATTATATTAATAAATGTTGAGACTTAGTTATCGGTATTGAATGACACCAGAAAACTTTCGAGTAAGAAAGTTAGATTTCTTTAAACTGTCATTTTTTAAACAAAGTAACTAAGGTAATATTTAGTATCGTCTTAAAGTGATGTATTAGGAAACACGGAGGGGACCCATGTTTTGATATGAAATATTTGTGTCGTAAAGGAAGCGTTTAAGACGAAATTTATATACAAACGTAAAATAGTAAAAGAATATATATAATATTTATAAAGCTCGTAGAGCTTGGGCCTGCGAATCAAAAGGTCCAAATCTCTAGCAAATATTCCTCTGTCCATATTCTTCACTTTTAAATGTGGAGGCGTTTTAACTCTGACATTCAATCGTGTTATTTGGTTAAGAGTAGCCGCCTAGGCGGAGGTTACTTCTGCTTGATTTCCGTTACTCTGGTTAGCAGTTCTAAATTAGGGATAGCTATTTCTGAACATTAGAAGTCTCTCACTTGGACGTTTAGCTCATATGTTGTGTAAGGTACCGTTCAGGTTGAAAATAGCAAATAATCTTACAAATTGTTTTATCTGTTACAACTGATTTTGACGTAGACTGACACAAGGGTGTTAAAAAAAAACACTATTAATAAGTCAACTGACGTAGTCTAGTCAAGACAATTCTGAAACACTGAGGCAAATGTTCGTTTCTATAATATTGTTACGTCTCCGTTCGTTAATTGATTTTCCGACGAAACTTTAGCGACACAAGTCCTTACTTAATGAAACTGGTTT